CCCTGCGGGCCCCGAGGCATTCGCACTCACGCCCGCCGCGTCCTCGGCCCGAGGCGCCCCGGCTCTCTCCCACGCTGCGCGCCCCGGGGCCGGGCGCTCTTGCCGCGCTCGAGCCCCGCTCGCCTCCTGCCCCACGTGCCCCCGCCCACGCTGTCAGAAGCACCGGCCTGGCGCCCGCTACTTTTGAAGCGCCGAGGGGACGCCTTCGGCCGCCCGAGCGTCTTTCCCTTCTTGGCCCGCGAAGTTTACTTTGAGCGCACACTGCGCTCAGCTGACAGCCAGTTGCTGAACTCCCTGTGCTCGCTTGATGTTGCCTCTTCTTAATCTGTTTGTGCGTCGAGGTCTTCAGAGTTGGCTAGAAGGACGCCTTCCTCCTGCCTTCCATGTGAGTCTTTGGGGCGCTTTTCCTCCTGCCTCGCTGTTGCTCTTTTCCCCGAAGCTCAGTCTAATGAATGAATTTCGTCTTCCAACCCGAATTCGAGTTTTCTTCCTTTGCTGATAAAGAGTGATGACTCAGCATTTGCGTTCCTTTCCGGATAGCGTGGCTCTCCTTTCTCCTGCATCTTTTTACTTACTTATTTGAAGCCAGTAATTTCTAATTCGGTGTTTAAATTGAGCACCTTCGGTTTTTCCAGCCTCTCGAGGCTCAGCACCCCTACCTAGAGCACAGGGAGTCAGATCACTGCTTTGTTTCTCTTGCCTCTCCTGGTAATGACGGGGTCGTAGTTCACTTGGCACTGCTGCTATTTGATGGGGAAATTACTTTGGGGGGAATAGATGAAGGTGGACGAGCGCTCAGGAAACCTGGCAAATTTCTCATCTCTTCACTCCTACCACAGAAAGTATGCTCAGTAAAGGAGATTCAGTATCGATACAGATTTTTTGTGTGTGGCCTTGTACGCTTTCTTTTTATTCCTGTTTCTCTAACGTCTCGCTCAAGTATTTGCTCTCCTGTTTTGAGAATCTGAGGCCAACTTAAGCATATCATAGGTTTTAGGGGGGAAGCCTGCTTAAAATAACTTTTATTTATACGTTCTGTGTTGTCTTCCATTTCTGCTTTCTCTTCCCCAGAAAAGAGAGAATTGGGACACACTTGAAATTTGTCCTTCAACATCTGTTGAAGCCAAGGCTTGGTGTTGAGTTGGCAGTGTGTACTTTGATGGAAGCATCTGGGAAAGCTAGATTTAGTGCCTAGCCTACTATGTATTAACAAAGATAAAAGTTACATTGTATCTGGAAACTGAAATGTCATCATTGCATCATAATAGCTACTGAATTATTGATAAATTCTCCTGACACATGTCTCATTAACGGTATCTGTTCCTTAAGAAGGGAAATTCCTGGTTTGGTCGTGCTAAATAATACTTTTTCAATATTTTTTGCTTATCTATCTTTGCATCTGCCTTGTCTTCGTCTTTATCAGACCTTTTCCAATAGACTAATAAGTTAACTTCTTTGTTACCTATTTCCTTTCTCCTCCTTTTCCTATCTCCTCTCCTTTCTCTGAAACACACTTAAGTTGTCTGTGTTCACAGTTGCCTTAAAATGTGACAAGTATTCGTATGAGTAAATAAACATCGGAAGCTCTGTTTCTGTGTGTCAGTACATGTTCACTTTTCTGTCTTCTTTTCTTCTCCCACTCTTCTCCAAGGAAAGGTTTTTTTAAAGACAAGGACTGCTATATCTTCCTAGGTCTTACCCCTGCAGCACTTAGTTCATTGCCTGGAACATAAGAGGTACTCTAAAATTTAATTTTTACAATGATTATACTTCTTTCATTAAGTTAGTATTAAATCTTTTATTAAAGTCTTTGTTGAATTAAGATTATAGGCAGACATTGCTGTCATACATAGTGCAGTCTGTTGATTTATATATATATATTTTAAAACCCTCAAATGTAAAATCTCAAGATAAAAACAAACGTTTCACAGTTGAGATTTTTGTCAGTGTTTAATAAAAATAATCCATAGTAGTTTTTTTTAAGTGTACATTTTGCATATTTCTCCTCAAAGTGTTCTTTTAGTTAAAAGTAATATAATGCAAACTTTGAACATGATTTTAGAGGTTGATATCTGGTAGGGCTTTCTTGTTTGTTTATGGAGATCCCATATTTTGCATTGTAGTCTGGATTAGGTTTTTCAAGTGGCTAGTGTGTTTTAAAAGAATGTACTCTTAACAAAGCTTATCTTAAATTGTTTCCTTAAAATGCCTGTGTGTTACTAGTGAGGTTTTTTTCCTGCAGACACACACAAGCTAAGACATATGGTTCTATCTTCAGAAAACAATATGGTGTTTATAGCCTAGGTAGGTCTTTAAATATTCATTACCTATAGTATTACTAATTTATTTGATGGTATTTAAAGTGGTATAGCATTGCTTTGATGTTGAGCCTAAATTTTTATTTGTTATATAGTTACTTTAAAGGTCTGTTTTTTATGTTCTTTCTCATTTGATGTTTATTTTGGGATATTATGTATTGGGTAACTTTTGATCTAAAAAAACAAACAAACAAGATCATGCTGTGTAATACTGGTTCTGGAACTGGACTGCCTGACACCTGCCTTGTGGGACACACATTTCAGGCTTGTGTGTAGCTTTGTAGTGCAGTGATTGGATCTACAGTATATCTGAATCTGCGATAGAATACTAAAGTGTAATAGTGCCCTATTGTAGTTTATTTTCTTCATCTATCCAATGCACCAAAATCGATAAGAATTGGAATAATACCATCTTTTGCAATGCCTTCCTTTAAGACTATTCTTTCTTCCTGCCACTCAGTAAAAAGGTGGAAATAAACTAATGATTGAGAGTATAACCTGAACATCTAAGAGCAAAGCAGGAGAAAATACTATAACATTGACTAGCTATACACCATGGATTTGACTGTGTTGTAGCTTTAATCAAGCCTCTCATTCAACTTAATCACATTCTCTGTTTCTTTCTTTCTTTTTTTTTTTTTTTGAGTTGAAGTCTCACTCTTTTGCCCAGGCTGGAGTGCAGTGGCATGCATGCTCATGGCCACCCCAGTGTCGACCTGTTGGGCTCCGGTGATCCTTCCACCTCAGCCTTCCGAGTAGCTGGAACCACAGACGTGCGCTACCACGCCCGGCTATTTTTTATTTTATTGTAGAGACGACGTCTCGCCAAGTTGCGCAGGCTGGTCTCGAACCCACAGGCTCAGGCAGTCCACTCGCCTTGGCCTCCCAAAGTGCTGGGATTATAGGCTGAGCCACTGAGCCCAGCCATTCTCTGTTCCTTTAAAGAGAGAGAGAAAAAAGAATATCTCCTATATATATAGTTGGTCAGTTCAATTGTATCTCCTGCACCTTTCCTCCATCCTGCTTCTTTCCTATAAAAGAGGTCTATTGAAGGATATTGTTGCAAATCTACTCCTGTATAAGAACTTGTCAAGAACAGTGTTACTTTTGTGAAAATTTAGCATAATATTTTGTGTAAAAAGTGCTGGTAATTTCATTCTTGATAGGTCTGCTCTTTTCAGAGTGAGAGCACATTCAGTATTGAAAAAGTGTCATTAGTTTTTGAAAGCCATGATGTTCTTAACTTAAAGTCTATCCAGTTGGACATAGGAAGTAGTTTGGCAATGTGAACTTTTGCCTACTGTGAAACTGCTAAGTTTTTAATCTCAAATTGGATTTTAACCCTAATGTTAGGGATAAAGGTGTCATTTTCAGTTTTAAATGCCTCAGTTCCTACAGTTCCTGTTTCTTAGAAGACAAAATAGACTCTAAGGTATGCCTTTTCTATTATTTTTTTTCCTTGAGTTATAAATTGTTTTGGGATTTTCTTAGTGTATATTCTTTGAATTGACCTCTCAATACAGGAATTCAAGCCATTTGTCTTTTTTTCTGTTATTTTGTATGTATTCTTTAGGTAGAAATTATATATTTTAAAAATTGGAACTTTAGGATAGGTTGACTGCTGTATAACCAGAGCAGAAAGAAAGTGAAATGTACAGGAGCTCCAGCAGTGCAGTCGGTCAGCGTGGTACTTATATAGAAAGGGAACTATACAAACTGTAATTTGGAAGGAAAAAAGATATCATTTCAATAAACTTCATTAAAAAATCAAGAGATCTTCTTACTAAGTCAAGCATTGAACTTTGTCTTAAATGTTTTTGTTAATATTTTGGAAGAGATGGTTATGGTAACATGAAGATACTTAAGCAGTTTAGTACAGTATTTTATTTTTCCTAGGACCTCAAAAACAGAAGTATGTACAGTATTTTAAAAGTTATAAAATGTGTCTCTATTAAGTATTGTGATGCATGAAGACATGTAAATGCATGATTTATACAACTCAGAATAAAGGAAAAGGTGATCTGAAATTTGGGTAAAATTTAAGTAAAATTATATAGTGAATTGTATCCTTTTTAGCTGGTAAATTAAGATTTTTACATATTGTTATGGAAGGCCTTTTATTTTATTTTATTTTATTTTTTGAGTTGGAGTTTCACCGTCACCCAGACTGGAGTGCAGTGGCTGCTCCTGGCCACCGCAGCCTCGACCTCCTGGGCTCCGGCGATCCTTCCGCCTCAGCCTTCCGAGTAGCTGGAACTACAGGCGCACGCTACTATGCCTGGCTCATTTTGATTTATTGTAGAGATGAGGTCTTGCCAAGTTGCCCAGGCAAGTGGGCTCAGGCAAGCCACTCAGCTCGGCCTCCCAAAGGCGGGGGATTACAGGCTGAGCCACCGAGCCCGGCTCTTTTTATGTTTTTTAAATTCAGTTTGCTGTTTTGCCACTTAACTTTTGGTAGAGATAGCTGAAAAATAGGAAACCTGAAAACTGGATTTTTGTATAAGTATTTCATGATATTCAGAACTTAGATGTTAACATTCTGATCTTTGGCTAGAAATGTAAATTAATATCTGAATGTGCCTCTAGAAATCTTCAAAACCTATAACTGATAGAAAGTAAGTTGATTTGGATTAAAACTATTAAACAGCATGAGTTTCTATTGTGACTATTAAGGATGAAAGGTAATTAACATCCATGCAGTTTTTCCAGAACAAACCAATGTTTAAACAGTAATGCAAATTTAAAACTATTTGAATGATTTCAAATTTGTTATATTAAAATGATAATTCTATTTTAATTTTGTTACTACCTAGCTTCAGTATGAAAAATTGAGTTAAGTAACCCTTTAGGTGAGATGAGCATAATACTTAGAAGATCAATGTTATTTGTTCATTTTCCTTATAGATAGCTCTACTCTGTATGAAAAGAAATTATTCCATAGATATAGGCTTACAAACTCCTATGAATTAAGAAGGGTCAGGCAGTTGTCTATGACTAACTCAAAATCCAGTAACCTCTCACTACTGCTGGAAAAAGTATGTCACTGCATTGGACTACCAAGAAATCGTTTCTTTAATTATAAGGAAAAGATGGCATGGTGGACCTGACCCAGTTTGTCTCTGTTTAGTTTTTTTACTTAAGTAGCATTAGCATGTATTTCAATTTTAGAGCATATACGCTAAGATTATACCCACTGAACTGGAAAATTGTTGCCCTTTCCTTTCCCTTACCTTTCCTTTCCCTTCCCTTCTTCTCCCCTGCTACTTTTTTTTTTTTTTTTGAGTCAGAGTCTCACTGTTCGCCCAGGCTGGAGTGCTATGAGTGGCATGCTCACAGCTACTGCAGCCTCTATCTGCTTGGCTCAGGTGATCCTTCTGCCTTGGCCTTCCAGGTGGCTGGAACTACAGGCATGTGCCACCACACCTGGCTAATTTTCTGATTTATTGTAGAGATGAGGTCTCACTAAGTTGCCCAAGCTGGGCTCAGGCAGTTTTCTTGCCTCTACCTCCCAAAGTGCTGGGGTTACAGGTATGAGCCACCATGCCTGGCCTTGTTACTCAATTCTTAATACAGAATTTTTTTAAAAAACTTAATTTTCGTGTTCTCAGTCTATTTTTCAGGGCATTCCATCTGAAAGCTTATTACATGTTTAATATGGTGACCATGTTGTAAGGCTTATTTTTGTCTTGGTATTCAGTTTCCAGTTATATATTATAGTTAGGAAAATAAAATGTACATCCTTTTACTTTCCAGAAGAAACTATGGCAATTTTTACAAATATTGTTTGGTTTATGAGGTTGCTTATAATAGATGTAAATTTGAGGAATTATACGCAGACTACCAGAAAGACTTAAAATGTGGCAATTTGTGGAGATAAATTAAGATAAATCCATGCTTACAGGACATAAACCAAGTAGTCATCTCTGTGCGAGGAAGTAACATTTTATTCATTTCTTTTTTTAAACTTACCTGCATAAAATATTTTATATAAAATACATATATTCAATTTCTAATTACTGAAAAAAACCCAAGTCTTTAAATTCATAGCCAAAAGTATATCTGGATTTGTCCAAATTTTTCTCCGAATTTCTAAAGAAATCATTATACTTGCTTTATTATCTACATAATGATAGATTTGGTTGATTCTGATGCATTTTAGACTAGGAAATTCTATTTTACCCTGTTCTCTTAAAACAAAACAATGAAGGTGTAATTGCTAACCATTTTACTTAACCCAGAGCACAACAACATGAACCCCTCATCCTCTGTGTGTCTTACTCTAGTTCTGTTCTTTGCTCATGCAATTGCTTTGGTTTGGAGTCTAAGATGCACTCACTGTATGTCTCATATCTTATTGTGATCAGGTATTTTGATGAATCAGTATTTGTTGTAGTTGTGTGTGTGTTATAAATTATTTTGAATTAGAAATTGTAATTATATTGACTTTAGTTTAAAGTTTAACAGTTAGAATAAGATGAGAAAATGCTATCAGGGTACTGAATAATATGCAATTGGGGTCTGCAAGGTCATACTGATTTGTTCTTTATAATGTCTTTTAAAGTGATATTTTAGTGGCTTGTGAAAAATTGCTGCTTTTTCTAAGTAAGGATTAATCTTACTTTCATAGGATCAGGCTTGATTGGAAAAATTTTATTGAAGACAGAGGAAGCTAACATGAAATAAAAGATGATGAATTAAATGATATAATACATTAAAGCCAGAGCTAAAGGAAAATTGCTGATCATTTATTTTTTCTTTTTGTACAGATACGTAGGTAACCTTTCCAGAGATGTGACAGAAGTCCTTATACTTCAGTTATTCAGTCAGATTGGACCCTGTAAAAGCTGTAAAATGATAACAGAGGTAAGATCTTTCCATGTGCTATCCATTAGTATGATGTTTAACATTTTGGGATGCATGGTCTGATTAGCATCATTTTAAAAATTCATTTTACACCTCAAGTTATTCTGGCGGAGAGATTTGTGTTTGTTATGTTAACTTACTACTTTGATTTGACTGACAGACTAGGCTTAGAATGGAGTTGAGAGAGCAGAGCTGCTGTGCTGTTACTCTTAAATGATCATACTTCATAGTGTAGTTATCTTTAAGTGATTCTGCTTTTAAAAAGTTGTTGCAGCTTATTTCAGAGTGGTGAAAAACTTGACAATATTTCATACAATTCTAGTAAGAATGTTAACCATTTAGATGGCATACATTTAAAGTTTAGGAATTGGTGCATGTAGAAGAACATTAGCTTATGTGGATAGTGCAGCACTGTGCTTCTTATGCATCTGTAGTAAATACTAGTGACTGAGCAACTTTACGTAGATAGGTGTTTAAATTGTTAGAGTAATACTTTTTGTCTTTTTTTCCTTAAAAAACCTGGACATTTTATACTTTCCTAGTTAGGGTTATAGCAGTGCCTGATGACTCTTTATTTCAGTTATTCTTTTCTTCCTAGCCTTTTTGTTTGTTTATCAACATTTTTTTGGACTATTTGCTATATACCGGATACTATGGTAAGTGCTAGGGATACACTGGTAAATAAAATAGTTTCTTGCCCCACACAGAATTGTGCAGTTCATTAGGGAGACAAAGGAGTTAACAGGCTCTTAGAGCATAGATAATAAATGCTATGGAAGCAGCTGGCTTAAAGTGCTGTGGGAACACATGGGTATCCAATGCGGTTTTAGATCAGGTAAGGCTTCTTGAAGGAGTCAGTGCCTAGGCTGAAACCTAAAAGGATAGTAATAGACACTGGGTAGAAAGGAATTTGGGGAAGAAGAGATTCCAGATAGACTGTTGATCCAGGCTGGTAGACAGAGAGAGCAGGAAAACTTGTGAGAGAAGAAAAGAAAATATAGAAACTGTAGCATGGTTAGAGTTTAAAATGGGATTAATCATAAGAGATGGCAGGAGTGTTTTGAAAGGGTCAGAAACTGTGCTAAGGATTTTGTTTTATTCTGAGATGGAAAACTTTTAAAAATCTGCAAAGTGCATTGGTCTTTTGTTCATCTTTTCTAACTAGTGACAGTCATCATTCTGTTCTGGTTATTCTGTTTTTCCTCTTTCCTTTCTGTCTTTGATTATTTATTCATTTATTCTTTCATTAATTAGAAATTTTCTTTGCACTAGGCACTTTTCAAGGCACTGGGGATAAAATGGAAAGCCAGACAAATGAGGTTCCCAAACAAATAGGGATAAAAGCCATGAAGAGAATAGAACAGTTCTGTGAGGACTGAAGGGTGGTGAGGGAAGATGTCACTTACCTCTTTAAGCTGAGAGAGGAATAACAAGATGGTGCCATCTATGCTAATAGCAGGAGGCAGAGGAAACAGCAGGTACTAAGGCCTTGAGTTGGTAATGAACTTCTGTTTGTGGAATCAAAGACCAGGATGGCTGGAGCCTGGTGAGGGATGGAGAGGAGTGGAAGGAATGAGTCTAACAGCAGAATTCACTATCACAGGGTAGTAAGTATGGGCCATGGTGGAGTTCAGATTTTACTCTGGTTGTAGGGGCAGACCATTGGAGGGTCATAGCGGGGGCAGGAGCTGCCCTGATTTGCATTTTTAAGCTTACTGCTCTTGGGCATGCACAGCAGAGAAACCATCTGGGTTTACTTACTAGTCTCGGTAAGAGGTGATGGAGGCTTGTTTTCTAGTAGTAGCTAAAGAAGTAGAGGTTGATAGGTTTGGAATATAATATTTTGAAGATAGAATCGATAGGACTGGATTGGCTGTGGGACATAGGGAAAGGAAGAAATCACGAAGTGCCCTATGATTGTTGTTAATACAATTGTGTGAGTGATAATGCTATTTGTTTACTAAAAAGGGTGGGAGGCACAAGATGAATGGAGAGAGGTGGGATTCAGGAGCTCTGTTTTCACAATGTTAAGTTCAAGATGGTGGTAGATATTGAAGTGGATGTTACATGTAGGCGGTTGGAGGAACTAGTGTGTAACTCTGGAGAGATCAGTGCTGAAGCTTGCAGTGGTACTTAAGCCATGGGATTATATGAAATCACCTAGCGCCAGTGAGGTCTGAGTCCTGGACCAGCGCAACATTTAGAGTTATGTTTTCAGTTTGAGTAAAAGAAGAAAGCTCTTCCAGTGAGGAAATGGGAAAACCAAGAGAATGTGGTGGGATTAAAAGAAGAGATTGTTTAAAGGAGGATAGTGGTCAACTGTTTTACATTCTGCTTGGAAGTCAAGATAAGGACAAAAAAGGAATCACAGAGGTGGCAGAGAGGTCATTGGTGAGCTCATTATACAGTTTCAGTGGCATGGTTGGCTTGGAAGTTGACGGTGGGTTTAGAAGAGATGGGGATTTGAGAAAGTGGAATGAGTCACTAGAAAATTTTTGAGAAACATTTGGTAAAGATTTATTTTAACAGTATTTTTTTTAAAAAAACCTATGTGTATATATAGCCATTCGAGGGGTGGAGGAACTTGAAATGAATTTTCATAACTTATCCATATTCTAGAACTCCTAGACCTGAACTTACAAATAGTTATAAAATCTCATATTTCTCTGTCTTGACATTTATGTCATCCAACAAAAATTGATGACAACACTAATTAAGGTAAGGACATAATTGATTTTTAGAATGTCACTTGGTAGTGGTATAAATGGGAAGCATCCAAAGGGCATGAACTCTAGTACAGAACATCTAGTAGCTAGGCATTTATTTTTCTTTCATAAATTTAATTTCGGTATATGAAAAAATTATTTCCCTCTCCTTAGTTTTATGATTTTTTTTACTTTAGATATTATTTATCATAGATTCTAGCTTTCCCTATGTAATAAATGTGTATTAGTAAGTCTAAGGCAAACTTTAAAAATTTTTACTATCTCTGACAGTTGGAGTGTGACTTAAAAATAGCGGTGTCTTAGACGAAATGCAGTGTGATGTGAACATATAAATATATGTGATATGAATATTTAAATATATGTGTGTGTATATATATATACACCCACAAACATGTGCATACATGCATACATTTAATGGGATTTGGCCTACTATTAGATAAATTTTAAATCAGTATGCATGAGTAGACTAGTTTTCTAAAGTGTATGTGATTATCATAGATCCACCATTAGACCCCTGTGTGCTTTGCTGTAATTAGCAGTATTTCCCTTAGAGACCATCAGGGTAAAAGAGGTAGGAATAAAAGGAAAAAAATCAACGGACACAATTTTAGCTTCTTGATTTACTTTTAAGTATTTTCTTCAATGAATGTTTCTGGTAAATGTCAATTCTTTTATAAGAAGAATTTAAGTGTGTATTTTTATTTGAAGTCTGTCCCCCTAATTTCCTTTCTCTACCTTTTAAGAACAGCATTCACGTAGCTACAACAATAGGATTTTGTGTGCAAGCCCATAGTTTTCTTGTCAGTATTAATGATCCCACTTTTTTTCCCTCAAGGAAATGCCTTCTGGTTGCTTCGCCACTATTGTTTAGACGTCTTATTTTGGATTTTTCTTCTAAAACTTTCCTGGAATGACAAACAGTGGTTGTTGAAAAGATCTTTATTTTGTCTGGTATTTTTATCCCTTGTAAGTCCAACTAGAATTCAACATTTTAAATATTATCTTTATAGGGCATTTTACATTGAATAGTGATGAATGATTTTAAGCTTACATAAAAGATATTTGTACAGTTGTACAGCTATTCAATATAGGTTGCTGTTTCATAGAAATTTACTCCAGTTTGGTTGTTAGGTGAGATTGCTGCTATAGCTTAGGTAGCACTACTTTCTCATCATCTTTATATGCATGTTTTTGCCAACTACTAGCATGGGGTTTTAGGAAATATTTAGTGCAGTTTTTTTATATTGATGGTTTTTTTGATGTAAAATTGTAGCTTTGTCATGGAATATTTTATTCAGACACATTTTCAGAAATGCTTTTCTTGATCACTAGTGTATTTCTCTGATCCTTGGGAGACCACATTCAAAGCATATAGAATCTCTAGTACCTTAGGCTATTTTGGAAACTAGGGAGTTCATTCCAATAGTAAGGTGTAAATCTTAAAATTTACCTTTTTTTCCAATTTTTCCTTATCCAGAAAAGAAATCAGAATAGTCTAGTTTTTGTAGCAGTGCAAGATGCTATCGTTTGCAGTACTATTTCTAATTTTGATTAAGAGCAAAGTTTATAAAGCTGGTTCATTGAGTATTTCTGTATCCTGGGATACAGTTTGTGAAGGAATATGATGCATACGTAGAATTTATTCTCTTAAAAATAATGATGGTGGCTGGGTGCGGTGACTCATGCCTGTAATCCCAGCACTTTTGGAGGCGGGGCTGAGAGATTACCTGAGCCCAGGGGTTCAAGACCTGCCTGGGCAACTTGATGAGACCTCGTCTCTACAATAAATTTTAAAAAAACTGGGCATGGTGGTGTGTACCTGTAGTTCCAACTACTTGAAAGACTGAGGTAGAAGAATTGGCTGAGTCCAGCGGGTTGATGCTGCAGTGGCCATGATTGCGCGATTGCAGTCTGCCTGGGTAACAGAGTAAGACTGCGACTCAAAAATAATAATAATAAAAATAAAAATAATAATGATGATGGAAGAGGAGAACAGTGGTAAGGCATAGTTCTCATCACATCTGAATTTGAGGTTTTGTTTGGTCTAATAGAAGCTTCTGTTTTATATTTAACATTACCAGAGTTCTGTACTTTCATTTAATACCAATAGTCATGATTCTATACTGCTTTTATAATTCTGTTTGACTACAACAGTATGCTGAGGTGCAAAGTCAGGGTTAGCTTTAAATCTTACTTTTAAAGTGTTAGGCTTTCATGAACGTATGCAATCTCACCTTGTACATTCCTAGCTATCAGTAATGTTTTTTCCTGGATTTTCTTCTCAGCAACCCGATAGCAGAAGGGTCAACTCTTCTGTTGGATTTTCTGTTTTGCAGCATACAAGCAATGACCCATATTGCTTTGTGGAATTTTATGAACACAGAGATGCAGCTGCTGCATTAGCTGCTATGAATGGGAGAAAAATTTTGGGAAAGGTAAGATAATAGAATGATGGCACCTTATGAGTACATATATTTGCATGTCAAATTAGTTTATATTCTTTCTTAGCAAATTTTTAAACAGATTAATCAACTGCTGAGTGGTGGTTTTGCTTTATTCAGCCTAGAACTTTTACAAAAATAATCCTGCTTGATAAATGATTTAATAAGTGGTAAGTGTTATAGCTCATGACATGCCTAATAATTGTATTAAATATAATCTTTATTTTTAGGAGGTCAAAGTAAACTGGGCAACAACACCAAGTAGCCAGAAAAAAGATACTTCCAGTAAGTACTCCTGCTGCATTTTACTGTGGAAGAGTTCTGAAATTATCCTGGCAGCATTACCAGCTTAAATAGGGTTTTTCCCCCCTCCTTTATTGTTGCCTGAAAAAGGTTTAGTAACTAACTTAAGTATTTGATTACCAAATGCTCTGATTTCAGATCACTTCCATGTGTTTGTTGGGGATTTGAGCCCAGAAATTACAACAGAAGATATCAAATCAGCATTTGCCCCCTTTGGTAAAATATCGTAAGTATCATAATCAGTATTACACTCAGTAGTGATAGGTAAAGTTGTATATGATTAACTTGTGATTGAATAAGATCTTTCTCTAGTTAGTATGATTTTGTTGTTGTTGTTGTTGTTTTTCCCTAGTTTTTCTTTTTTGGTTTGTTTTATTTTCTGAGTAGTAGATGTTGTTGAAAATGTTAATGTCATTTAAATGTCTTGGGGTCTTGTTTTCATCTAATCCTGTGTACAGTATGTTAAAAAAATTTAAGTGATTCTGTTTGTTATCTTTGAAGCAGATGTTTGAATGGTAAAACTTATAAAGTCTAACTTTTTGTCAAATGTTTTGAGAATTTGGTGATTAAGGATAATGGGTTAATAAAAAGGAACTGTGATTTATATTGTGTGTTAAACTTTAATAGGAGGGTTTTATAAATGGGAAAAGTAGGTAAATCCTTGAATATGTTGTGATTAAATTAGAAATGTTTGTGTTTTATTATGATAAGTGTGTTTTGATATTTTAGTAGTAAGTGAAAAATAGTACTATAATGTTAAAATGTTTCAATGTCTGAGTCATAAATGTGGGATTAATTAGTAGATTTTTGTTAGTGATATTTGATTTTGCTAATTAATGGGCAAATGTGGTTTGATTTTTAACAAAATTTATGCTTGCGTTTCACTGTTGTTACTTGATCAAATATATTGGGAAACTAAAAATGGTTATAAGTTTTATAAAATGTTTATCACAATTTATCTGATTAAAATTAGTTAATTTTGTATATTTCCTATAGATTTAAGTTAAACGTTTTAGTACGTCTTTATAGGAATATAAACAACAATTGTACTAACAAAAATTGTACTAAGAACAACAATTTTTTCCTCTATACAATTTACAATTTGTTGTTCTATAGATTTAATTTATTTAAAATATTTAATTCTTAATTTTCTGTTTTAATATTTGCTTTGCTTTTTAATCTAAATGTGGTAAGTAGTACTATTTTAAAAATCAGTATAAAAATAATACAGGTTGCTGTTTTTCAATCTTTATTTATACCTGAGACCTGCAGTTTTTCTAAAGTCCAAGTCACAATTAAAAGTAATAGCATTCTGGTTATTTTGCAGAATTGCTCATAAGAATGGACAGGATCTTGAAGGCTAACTGCAAGGAACTGTGCACACTGGAACTCAGTTGTAGATTTTTTTTTCTCATTTCTATTTCTTATTATACATTATTTATATATACATATTTTAGTATTTACATTTTAACATTCTATATTCAGTGGAGTTCTATATTTCCAATCATTTTAACTTATTCACTAAAATTTCTGTGTAAATTTGTTGTTTTCGTACTGGTGTGCTTAGCGTTGTTGTTAGTTTTTTATTCTCCTTTCTTAAATTTCTGAAAATGTCAATTTTTCAAAATTTACAGCTGCCCAAACTCCAAAATGATGGTAGAGAATTGACCAAGAAAAATAAAGAAATCTGTTAACAGGCCATGTATGCCTTTTTAATTCCTATTTTTTCCTCTTTTTCAATTTTTTAATATTTCATATATTTTGTATCACTAGGCAGAAAACATTTAACTATTTAGAGATTGCATGGTAAAGTAGTTAGCATTGTTACAGTAATTTATAGAATCAGTAAAACTTAGAGGACACTAGCAAATAGAATATTAGAAAAGGAAACTATTATTTCTATTAATCTTCAAATTTGAGCATTTAGTTTAGAAAGCACAGGCTATTTGATTAGGTTGCATGTTTATTACATGTTTTTGTCCTACTGCTTTTTTCTAACAGGTAAAGAAGCATTAGGGAGAGTTCAGGAATGGTTGTAGTTAATTAGGGCTAACTGGAATTTTATTTTAAAAATGCTCACAATACAGTGTGTGTGGTTCCTTTTAGTTTTTATTTTGAGGGTGACTATTACTTCCCTCATTTAGCTGTGCTTCTTTTCACAGGGATGCCCGGGTAGTTAAAGACATGGCAACTGGAAAATCCAAAGGCTATGGTTTTGTATCTTTTTATAACAAACTGGTACGTTCTTCCAACTCAGTTGAAAATTTTCAATACTAAATTTAGTCATTAATTATTTAAAATGTCAAATCTGAAACTTGTCTATGCTTGGATGTTAATTACAAATACAACTTTTATATAATTTTATGTATGTTTTAATAAGAGTATAATTTATTCTTTTTACATAAACTTGGATATAGCTAGAAAAGGTAGGGTGATTACAAGGAAGATAATTAAAATTGCATTTGTGCATTGGTGAAGGTAAGAAATATTAGAAATAAAGTTCAAGTCTAGGACAGATGAACTAATCAGAGAATTTGGAGAGTAGGTAAGTTATATTCCATTTTAACCATCAAAATCTCAGTTTTAACTCATTTAAATTATTATTCATACTTTTCTAGCTAGGATCTTAATGACTACGACAAATAATGTAATTAAAAGTGTTAGCAATTCGTCTTGATATTTGCAGATATTCTTTGACAAAGTTACCAAATTTAAGCATTTACATTAACTAACATAAAATAATAAAGTGGGCTTTGATTTTTAAAACATTTTTAACAACTTAAATTACCCATATTTTATTGGAATGGTAAGATAAAGAAAGGGCCAGCACACTGTCTTTGCTTAAATTGAGTTGCTGAATTTCAAATAATTTACTAGTTGTTAATAGTTTTGTTGACTGGGTATGGTGGCTCACGCCTATAATCCCAGCACTTTGGGAGGCCTGGGTGAGAGGATTGCCTGAATTCATGGGTTCAAGACCAGCTTGGGTAACTTGGCGAGACCTCATCTCTACAATAAATCAAAAAATTAGCCGAGCATGGTGACACGTGCCATTAGTTCCAGCTACTTGGAAGGCTGACGCGGAAAGATTGCCTGAGCCCAGCAGGTGGAGGCTGCAGTGGCTGTGAGTGTGCTGCTGCAATCCAGTCTGGGTGACAGTGAGACTCTGACTCAAAAAAAAAAAAAAAGTTTTGTTTAGGCTATTTGGTCAGTTCATCTGCTGATGAAATTTATAGGATCCGGCAGTGCCATCATTTTATTTCATCCTGTTAGGTCTTATATACCACTGTTTTTTGTTTGTTTGTGATTGCTCTTTTTCTTTTTTCTTCATAGGATGCAGAGAATGCAATTGTGCATATGGGAGGTCAGTGGCTGGGTGGTCGTCAAATTAGAACCAACTGGGCTACACGTAAACCACCTGCACCTAAAAGCACACAAGAAAGTAAGATATGTTTGCTGTGTATGTGAAAATTATGGATTCTTCACAAAATCATGTATTAATATAGTCTTAATTTTTTAATATTTAACTTGTGTTATAAGACTCATTTCGTTTTGTATTTTTTGTTTGTTTTGAGTGGGAGTCTCACTGTCTCTGAGGCTGGAGTAGAGTGGCACGATCACAGCTACTGCAGCCTCCATCTGCTGGGCTCAGGCTATCCTTCCACCTCCGCCTCCTGAGTAGCTGGGACTACAGGCACGCACCACCACGCCTGGTTAATTTTTTTGATTTATTGTAGAGACAAGGTCTCACCATGTTGCCCAGGTTGGTTTTGAACTCCTGAGCTCAGGCAATCCTCTTGCCTTGGCCTCCTAAAGTGCTGGCATTACATGTATGAGCCACTATGCCTGGCTTTCATTTTGTATTTTATTATCTGAGAATAATTAGACTGTGGTACAAGTATTTTTGGAGCTGTGGGCCACCTGATTTAATATATGTATTAAATCATAGCATCAAGAAAAATTTTATTTTTTCCTCCAATGAGATGTCTCTTAACAGCATATAGTAATTAACAAAAGATAGTTTTATATTACTGTAATAACAGTCAACATTTTTATTTTCTTTTTGTATACAGACAACACTAAGCAGTTGAGATTTGAAGATGTGGTAAACCAGTCAAGTCCAAAAAATTGTACTGTGTATTGTGGAGGAATTGCTTCTGGGTTAACAGGTACAGTGTTTCATTTCCTAATCACCTCTGTGGAGCTTCATCGCTGTTAGTATGAATTTCATGATACACATCAGCCTTAAGTATTTTATTTGTGTGTTTGTGTGTTCTAGATCAGCTTATGAGACAAACTTTTTCACCATTTGGACAAATTATGGAAATAAGAGTTTTTCCAGAGAAGGGCTATTCATTTGTCAGGTAATAATCTACCTGTAATAACGTTATTACTCATTACTCTTACATTTGATTCATTTCTTTCAGGTATGTTATTTGACCTCCACGGTATCAGAGTTTGTTACTTTAGTGCTACTTTGCAATACAGAGTTTTAAACTACCTACATAATATACTTTAGGAAAAATACCAACTGACAGGTATAAACTAAAGGGTTTCTATATTATTAACTGTGTTAAGTTCTTAAAAAATAAAAACAAAACCATATCATTTTTCTCTTTTAGATTTTCAACCCATGAAAGTGCGGCCCATGCCATTGTTTCGGTAAATGGTACTACGATTGAAGGACATGTGGTTAAATGCTATTGGGGTAAAGAATCTCCTGATATGACTAAAAACTTCCAACAGGTAATTCAATTTTTCATAGCACTTTTTAAGGTTTCCATCTTTCATATCTTCATAAAAGCTTTGGAAACTCAGTAAAATAAATAATAAAATAAAGCATATAGCTACTTTCAGTTGATTGTATTAATGCTATTTCAAAATTGATTATTTTGTGGTATTAACTGAATCTTAATACTTTCTTTTCACAGGTGTCACCACCCCAATAAACTTAGACAATGATAAATAACAGAGTCCTATTCACATAAGGGTGCTTACTTAGTTTTTCTCTTCCTTGTCTCCCACTCTTTCTTCAAATACGGTGTTTATTATTTGTTTCCTAAAACAATGATTTGCTTTTTCCTAGGTTGACTACAGTCAGTGGGGCCAATGGAGCCAAGTGTATGGAAACCCACAACAGTATGGACAGTATATGGCAAATGGGTGGCAAGTACCGCCTTACGGAGTATACGGACAACCCTGGAATCAACAAGGATTTGGAGTAGAGTAAGTTGTCTGGGTTTTTCCAATGTAGAAACAGATATGGTTCTGATAAAAGAAATAAAAATGTGTTTTCCTAGAGAGCATCTATTTAAATTATATACACTGAACTATTTTGGTATTATAGACACTAATGAAATATGACTTATGAGACTAGAAAGTTACTCCTCATTACTTAGGTGAAAATCTTTTTTGTGTCCTACTATCCCTGTAAGCTTTTGGTAGAATTTGATATACATTTCTACTATACTATTTTATTTATTTTTTCATATTTCAGATATGTTCAGAAATTGATGATTTTATGTTTCTTTGACATGTGTGAGAAATCTCAGTTTTATGTGATACAAAGTAACTTGCTTTATTTTTTCCTTTGTTCTTAGAGTGGATTCTTGTCATTTTTACAGGCCAGGCTAGCCCAGACCCTTATTTTCATTAGCTTCTTTTGAGACTCTTTCCACTGTGAACCTGTGTTAAAATTTGTTATAAGTTGATAGACATGTGCAACATATGATGGTTAGATGGTGTGTTGAATCATTTATCATTTTTTAAAAATCAGTTTTCAGATCCTCTTAAGAGATGTCATTGTGCTGAGTTGTAGTTATCTTAAAATTTTTAAATAGTGGGATATGTACTGTACACATGTATCATTTGTTTCTTTGATCTTCCTGCTACAGCTTTCTTGATTTTGTCTGTTCTGTGATTAGGCTGTGTTTTATTTTTTGTATAAATGTATAGATGATTTTTTTCTTGTATTTGCTGAAGATTTTTTTTTTCTTTCAAGTCAATCACCTTCTGCTGCTTGGATGGGTGGATTTGGTGCTCAGCCTCCCCAAGGACAAGCTCCTCCCCCTGTAATACCTCCTCCTAACCAAGCTGGATATGGTATGGCAAGTTACCAAACACAGTGAGCTGGGACTCTTAAACAAATTGTAATTCATGATAGGCTTCGATTTCCTGTGACACTCTGAAGACATGAAGTAGACATCGGAAAATGAAAATATTTATTTTAAAAATTGAAATGTTTGGAACCTTTAGCACAGATTTGCTTTGGTGAAGGACACATGTCTTCTAGTTCTGCCTTTTTAAGTTTTTGTTCATGATGGATATGAACATGATTTTTCTTTGTGTACAAAAACTAAAATAAAGTCAATAAAGACACTTCTGACTACAAATTTTGATATAATAGGAGAAATGGGTAATACATTTTGATTCTTAGATACTATTCCATTTTTATCTTGATGTTCAGTATTTTAACTCACTGTGTTTTTAAAAGAGCAAAAAAGGGAGGATCATGAAAAACTGGGAATCACATATAAGTTCATCCTGAATCCTGATACTCCCCTCCCCTACCTTGAGGTGGACCACATTTGAAGTCAGCAGAAAAAAGTGTGATATTCAGAAGAAATGCATGATTTTGGAGTCGCTTTGGAGGAAATATTTACTTTCTCTATGCCTAAAGAAACTGAAGCCAGACTGAAATTTTGCACCTAAATAAGGAGCAGCGTTATCTGAGTTACTTGAGTGAATGTTGGTGGTCCACATTGAGACGTATTTTTAAAACTTAAAAAAAGTGTTGATAATTAAAATTGTAGTATATTACATTTCATGGGGGGGAGTATTCCAAGTATGGTGTTTGTATTAAGTCAGACAGTCATACTTGTGCTTTTACATGAAGTTTAAATGATATACATTGTAAATATTAAATAACTACAGTGTTTAAAAAGCATGCTTCAACATAGAAGTAGCAGCAATGTAATTATTTGAAGTAACACTTGACACCACTGCATTGAATGCAGTAGATTGATCAGAATGTTTAAGACTGACATTTTCAAGGTTGGCTACTATGTAAAATTAGAATTAGAATTACACAAATTACTACGCAGAACAAGCCTTAATTTTAATTTCATACAAATCTTTGATGCATTAGTACATTCTAAAATGTCATTGGAAATTTGATTTTTTTTTCTTTTTTTCTTTACATACTTGGTATGTAAATACCTTGATTAAAACCTTGTAAACCAATTTCAAGGTTACTATAAGTTGTATAGTACAAGTGTTTTTTAAAAATCTTGGGGTGTTTTTAAAAATTAGATATATTTTGCCCAAGAATTTTTTTAACAAGATTGCTAAAACATCTTATTTAGACAGTTCAATGTACCAATTTATAATTGGATATTCAGTTTAAATAGTACACAGAGTTGTGACTTTTATTTTTCATTATTTTTTTTTCCCTCGTGGGTAGTATGCATGAGATGACAAGCCTGAACAGAGGCTTAAGTTGTATGCGTGCAGAGTTTGTAATGGAACCAATTGGGGAGATGCAGACGATTGAAGTTTACTTTCAGGGTATTCTTCAGGCAATGTGGATAAAATCTGCCTCGAATTTCTATTAAACAGGAATGTAAAACAGTTAAAATTCCATGTGTTGTTTGAATTGTGAGAACTAGGGGGTGCAAATGTCCTGGCAATGTATTCGAAATACTGCACTGGGCACCAAAATGAGAAAATAGCCTTTTACAGCTAAGTGGTAAGATGCAACTGGCACCCACAATTTACTATTTTTTAAACCTTTGAATTCTTACGATTAACTTTAAAATAATGATGGTTTTATAAATTGGTAACCACAAATTTTGGTATTATTTTCCTTCTTTTTCCACTTAGAAATATAGGCAAATGTTTTCAACATAAAAATTCACAGGGTCTGAAGTTCATCTTCAGGCTGAAATTTTTATGGCACCTTAGTTTTTACCATAATAGTCATCTGTTAGACTCTTCTGATAGATACCCTTATTTCTTTTTTCCCTAGTATATCTGGGGAATGTTTTTGGAAAAGTTACTTTATATTTTATAGGAAGAACACTCAAATTATATTAATTATGCCCCTGAGTTTAAAATGTTATGAATATATGTGAAACTTGGACAACTTAAGACTTTTTTTTTTTTTTAATTGACAAAAGTTTATGAAGTTCTCAGTTTGCCTTTTTGGTCTGCCAGTAAATTAAGTAGCCTATTGAGATAACTAACAGCTAATATAGCTGCAGTGTTTCCTGGTTGTATATTCTATGATTTAATAAAATTATCCAGGCTAGTTATGTTGCCACAGTAAACATGTGACTGAAGTGTTCTTCGTCTTAATCTGAAAGAGAATAAGATTTCATGATTTCAGTTAATGGGAGTTATTTTATATTAAGTGGTTTTTTAAATACAAAGCTACTTATCCAAATGAAGTGCACCATTAAAAAAAACACAATGTTGAACTAACACAACTCAGATGATTTTATAACAAGGTGAAGTCAGTGCTGTCTTGATCCCATTCGGCCTAAGAATCGTTATTTTCCCCCTCCCCCCTCCCCCATGTTCGTTAAAAACAGCAGCAGAGATTCTTTGGCATGCAAGGAAATGTTTCTTATAATTATTTTGAGATTTATTTTGGTGATGTGTTTCTGACTGCCATCTTCTTTGCTCTAATAATTTCTCTTACTAGTATTGCCCCCCCCATGCCATTCCCACTTGATTTTTATGTCTGCTGGCAGTGAGAGGCTAAATTGACTGGCCAACTTAAGCCAAAGCTGTAAACCACAGTTGAAGTAAGTCTTTCAATAAAGACTAGACTATATGATAAGTTGCTTTTTCTTATTGTCATTCATTACGTAATTATTTCTTCCAGGCTGTCATGAAATAAGCAATTTGGTTTTCTTTTAAGTTATCGGTTATGTGGAGTACATATATATTCAGGACTTATTTGTGTGTGATAAAAGTCCGTTAGCTTTACTGAATTAAAATTAACCTCTGGATGTGGAGGAGTAGAAATTTGCATTCTTCTAAAAAGATATGCTCCGTTGAATATTAATATAGTAAAATCTCATTAATTTGGAGTCTTCAAATATAGGAACTTTTTGTCTAGATTGATCTTTAGCATATGAGTAGAGATTATGCTTGAAAAATAATAGAAAAAGAATTTTAGACACTTTTCTGTTAGGTATGCTCAAATTAGATTCTTACGAATTAAAAGCCAGAATTTGGGCATCTACCTAATACATTATAAACATTGACTTTGCATTTTTACCACGTATTAGAAATATGCAAAAAGCTTTCTTTCAGATTTTTACTGGTTTCTATAAGCCTTTATTCTTAAGTGGTTCGAATGAGGAGGGTTTTGCTTAAATGTATATTCTGCTGTTTAGTAATAAAATATCCTAGAAACTACATTCAAATAGGTTGCTATGAATTAGATTGTTATCAATTCCATTTTTAAACAAGGAAATGATGTGAATAATTATGACTTAAAAAATGTTGTTGTTCCAAATTGTAGTAAATTACTATGATATCTAAATGTTATATTAGTTTGAAACCTGGACTCCCATTTTCTACTTAAATTGGTTTTATTTTGAAAGATAGTGCAGATAGGCTAGATACTATAATTCATGATATACTTTGTGCAAAATCTCTTTTATGGGCAAGACTGATTTTTGATTTTAGAATTGCCTAAACATGAAATAAGTTAAATTTGTATCTGGGAAATAGGGGATGAAGGGAAAAATATATATATATTTACATATATAAATATGCATATATATATCTATAAATACATATATTTTTTAAAGGGAAAAAAAGCATTAATAATATTTGACCCTTCTATACAATTAGGTTTTTGTTCGGGAGAAGAGAAAGATTAATCTACAGAACTTTGATGGTTAGATTTTTTTAAACAAAAATATCAGAGTAACAGTTCACAAAAGTGTATCCGGTAAAGGAGTTCCTTAATATTTCAACTCAGTTCCAGTACATGTGCTAAATTTTAATTTTTCCAGTTTGTTGCACTTTTAAAAATTCACTAGTAATTGTTTCTGTGGGAAGGTTATCCACATCTAATGTCTTGAAGTCAGCCTGGGAAGTTTGCAAACATGAAAACTGAAGTGCTGGCAGGGTAGGGTGGTAATCCTATGCACTAATCCCAGCACTTTGGGAGGCGGTGGCAGGAGGGTTGCTTGCTCAGGAGTTTGAGACCAGCATGGGCAACAGCGCAAGACCATGTTTCTACAAAAAGTCAAAAGATTATCTGGGTGTGGTGGCATGCACCTGTACTCCCAGCTACTTGGGAGACAGGTGGGAGGATTGCTCGAGCCCAGGAGTTTAAGGCTACAGTGAGCTGTGATCATGCCACGCGACTCCAGCCTAGGTGACAGAGTGAGACTTCTACTCAAAAACAAAAGTGGGCACGCATGTGCACACACACATATATGCATACACACACAGATATGCTTTTAAATAGCTGGTAGGGGAGAGCCAGGAAAATTGCGTGCTGAATAGTAATTTCAGAATTGGGCTGTCCAATTGTTGATCTTACAGCTGGGCTTAGTTTGCTTGTGGACCTCCTCTTCTGACTCTTTGTTCTTAGGAACTGACGAGAGTTTGGCAAAACGTCTGGTTATCATGGTACTATAGAATTGTGGTATTTTAAAGGTAAACTAGATTTTGCTATATAAAACCAATAGATACCATAACTTACCTAAATTTGATTTTTTTTCCTCTTCTTTATCTGTCTTCCTTAGGTTTGAGTATATTAGTAAAGAGACATCTGAAACCACCTTGACAAAATGAGCATGAAATGTGTAGCCATATGCAACTGTGCATGTTCTGAGAATTAATGTTGTATAGAGTTCAGGTTTTCACATTAAGTTAATTTTACTAGTTAAGAGCTGTGAGTTAAGTTGTTCCATATCTGGTGTATATGCTTGCTTTTGCTCACAAAATAAAGCTAATATGTTACGACTTTAACGTAGTTTAAAAAACGAGACTACCCATTTAATCTTAGTTTACTTCTTTTTGAAAAGGACTAAACTTGAAAAACAATTTTACGAATTTTCTTTGGCTAGTTTATATTTTAGCCTTTGGGACAGCTCATACTTTGTTTAATGAGGATTCAGTTTGGAGGAAAGGTGACTAGGATCATGAAGGAGAGGAAAGCGCTCCATCCAGGAGCACACTGACTTGAGACTAGACAGCCCTGGGCAGATGTGGTCATGCATGGATGATTGGACTAGGTGTTAATATGAGACGTGTTACTAGTCAAGACTATGCACATTTTGTCAAGAAGACTAGGAGACTGGGTTATTGAAAATAAGATACTACCAACATCTTTGCTAATAGACGGTCCTGATCCTGATAGCTTCCTTTCAGTTTCTTTTAACCTGTGCTTTTACTTCGTAATGTGGGTCTTCATGTGTATTAGAATGTTGGGCAAATACTACCGTTGTAAAATAACTGAGCATTTTCAATAAAATGAAATTACATCCTTTAAAATCCACATTTAATTTATTATGCCCAGGGATATATTTTATCTTTTAAAATAGCTAACCTCATTCCCTGGTGGCTTTACTGTTTTTACATCCTTGGTTATGTCAGTCTCCCTCCATTAGAGTGAGAACTCCACAAGTTTGGAGATTTTTGTTGTTGTTAACTATACAAATTAAAGGACCTATACCAGTTCTTGGCATGTGGTTGATGTTAGTAAATGTTGAATGCATGAATGTGATTGAGAAAGTGAAAATAAACGTGTATTTAAGTTTCCCTCTTGAAACCAGAATACCATCCCACTGGGTGCTTATTAAAATGCAGATTCTGGGACTTTGCAGTGTAGGTGAAGGTAGTCTGAAAATTAATAGGACTGGATTCCTTTTATCTTCCTAGCTTTTGATTTAGGAGAAGAAAACTACTAACCATGGTTACACATTTTCTGTAAAAACTAGGATTTTGCTACCATGGAAATACAGATTAAACAAACTAACGAATACCTAATTGTTCTGGAGTTAGTGATCTCTGACTGCCACCCAACATAGTTTGCCAAGCATCTTTTAAAGGTGACTAGGATGCA